AAGATCCCATCCTACAAAAAAGAAAATCTGGCTATTATTTTTGTGTTGTCCTTGTTAGGGACTGGTCACTAAATGCCACCTTTGGCGTTTGTACCTGCCCTAAGTGGGGCCCACCCCAAAGGGTTCCTGTGTCCCCCAACTGCATCAAATCAACAAACATTACATCATTTTTCTGTGTTCATTGCAATAGCAGTGTGTGGTGACTTGTCCATTGATTTGGAATTGCAAACTTTGGCCCTTGCAATTGCATTGGAACAAGGTCACTATTCCTACTGCTACATACATGCTACCTTTTCAAATGGAGGACACTGTGTTCTTTCTTTTTTTTTATTTTTTTATTTTGGATTGGATCAATGACACCAAAGATAATTGAACCTCATTTCAATGTGATTACACCACCACCTACTTTTGGAATTTGAGAAATCATTTTGCAAATAGTGTTATTCTAAGTATTTATCAAAAACACTTTGAAATACTTAGTTAAATGATGTAAGATCATGGTATCTAAAATTTAATTTGTGGAAAATTAAATCACATTGATTGAAAGTTAGAAACTCACACAATGACAAATATGGGGTTGTTGATGGCTTGATTGATATAGTCTTTATCATGATGTAAGATGATGAATTCCATGGCTGTTTCATGCGATTTTTCCCATTCACCAAAATGCATGTTACCCGTTCGTTGAAACTTAGGTTCTACAAATAATGTTTCCATTAATTAATTAATTGATTTGAATACAATATTCAACTAATTAAATAACTTTTGGGAGAGGTGCTAATGGTGTGTTTGTTTGGAGATATATATTAATATATACCATATCAAATCAAAATATAGTAAATGACTAAATGTAATGCTATTTCATTTTTATGTTTTAGAATACTAATTAATGCTATTGTTATTGCAATACGATTCTCACGAGCAAGAAAAAATTGGTTGTTATCTCACCTCTTAATAGCATGTTAATTTATTTTATTAGTCTAATATATAAATAATTTGGACCCTATGCCCAAGAACTTAGTTAAACTACAATTCCCATATAAACTATCAATGTAGCACGTAAACGTTAACTGTCACTCTATAGTGAGATTATTACTAATTTAAATGTGAGAATATATTTTTGTAAGTGTTCACTTATTTTCTAAGATGGTGCATAATTTATGAGTGTTTCACCTAGGTTTCCAAGTAAAGAAACAAAAGAACACGCAAAGGAGAAGCTTAGTTAATTGTTAAGAAATAATACTAAATAATATTTATGAAAACGTTTATTATTACTTATTAGCATGAAAGTTTAGTGGTTAAGTAAAAACGATAATTTATTGCATATATATAATTTGTTATTCATTGCTAATATTGACTTATTCTTGATACTCAAACCCCACACGACTCTTGCCTCTCATATTATCTATCTATATATCATTTTCATCATACAACAAACGTTTAATTGAATTGTTCTTCATAATATACAAAAATGAAAAATTGTCGTTTTTCATGATGCAAACTCGGTTCCCATTACTTCATTATATACACATATTCAATGAACAATATTATCCATCTATCTACAATTTGTGATAATATCTAAAATATTAAAATCGATTTGCAAAAAAATCTGCAGGAATATTGTAGGCTAGCTAATGTAACAGAATAACATAAATTGATGTAAGTGGTGTGAACTATGAAGCATCTCTCGTGTTCCCATTGATAATTAAATCTTTTTTTAGAATTTTTTTTTTTTTTGCTTTCTTGATCTTAAACCCACCTCTAAAATTTTATATCAACAATATGTATCCATTAATTGCGCAACTAAATAAATCTAGATTGATGGGTAACATATCAAAACAAAACAACATGTTAGTTATAAATTGTGATGTGTCATGTGCCTAAAAAATCTAAATTGATTTGAATTGATTTATAATTGATACAATTTGTATTAAAAAAAATTAATTCATTTTAAAAAAAAATAAACTGATTTACTTTACAATATCTTATCTATTTTTACAGCTTGAATCAATTCAGTTCGATTTAATTTTTTAAAAAGATTAATCCATATATAAATAAAAAATAAATAATTATATTATATCAAATCGATAATTAATTCATATTTTAAAAATAATTTAATCCATAAACATCATATTATATTTTGGAGGGAGTGAAAACAGAAAATAGAAATAGTGAAAATAGTAGCAATGAAAAGTGAAAAGAGTGAAGAAAACAAAAAAGTAATAATAGCAGTTTCTATTTTTAACTGCGTTCCGTGAAATCTTAACTGCAAAAGAATCTCATTTCGTGAACAACCAATAATTAGTCAAAGGACGACCGTACCCACCTCGGTAACGCTAACACTTTTTTATTATTATTATTATTATTATTATTATTTTATGGATCTAAAATTTTCAAATTACATAATTAATTATTCATTACATTTTAATTTAAATTGAGTTCTATTACCGATCTAGTGAGAGATGATCTTTCTTGTCTCGAGACTTTTTTAATTATCTCTTGCATCGGTTGTTTTTCCTAAAAGATTTTAATTAATTAATTTTTAGATAAGAAAAAATTAAATACTAGCAAATTTAATGGATAATTTATTTTATTTTTATTATAATTATAAAAAGATAAATAAGCATAATTTTTAAAAATGCTAATTATTTAGGTTAAAGTAAATAAATAAAAATGGAGATTGATTTAAAAATACTAAACTAATTTTGAAAATTGTCTAAATTATTGATATCACTAATTAAATTAATACTAAAGTAGATTATATATTTGTAAATTAAAATAGACATTTTGAACAATAATATTTTTAAAAATATCTTGTAGCAGAAGTTGTTTAAGAGTATTTCTTTAATGTAAGTTTTAAAATTTATATTGTCAACTAATTAACAGTATTAAAACTGAATGGAATATTTGAAATAAAATTTAAATTTATGATAGAAATAATTAAAAGTAACTACATTAATTATTATTTTTATCTTAATGATTTATCCTATATAATAATATTTATTATATATAACTAAAATTTGTAATAATTTATATACACAAATAAAAATTGTTTTTGAATATAAATTATATTTAAAATTTATACAAATATATACTTTTAAATATAAAAATTATATTTTATATTTGTGATAAAAATTTATATTGTAACATAACATTATTTTTTTTTATTGATAATTTATTTTAAAATATTCAAATTTAAATTTTAAATAATTATGATATATAAAACTGAATTAGATAAAAGGTTAAAAAAAATTAAAAGACTTATTATAAAAAAAAAAAACCTAAAACATTCCTATGATAATTTTTCATGTTTAATACATTGAGTTAATTTTTTGAATTATTTTATATTTAACTAATCTTACAAATTGCACTAGTATTACATTTTAGCAACTGTATAAAATATTATATCTCCAATAATATATATATATATATATATATATAATTAAATTTCAATATCAGCACATTTTTTTTAATCATTAAGCATCACATTTTCTATTAAGAGTATCTAGTTTGGCTTAGATTATTTTGGGTAAAATAAAGTTTTAACCAATCAATTTTAATCAATTTGATTTGAATTAAACTTACAAATTTATTTTGGAATTCGAATCAAACAAACTGATCAATAAAGGATTAGTTCACTTTGGATTAGTCAATTTTCGTAAGAGAAAAAATGATAAATTTTTTATTTTTTTAGAAACAATATATGATATCATCTCAAAATTTAAATACAAAATGATTATTAAAATAGTGTAAAATACATTCAAGTGTAAACAAAAAAATAATAAAGAAATGTGAAATCAAAATAGTCTAACATAATGAAATAATGAGTATTCATGTGACAATGTGAATGAGTGAGAAGAGTGAGTGCAACGTGTGATACTATGATAAATGTATGATAATGCTATCTATGTTAGGTGAGTCTCTAAATGACAAAGTGTCAAGTAAGTAAGTTATGTTAAAGTGTTACTAACAAATAATAGAATATAATTATAAAACTAATTATAAAATAAATTAATTCAATTATCTAATCATTAAATTTGTAAATATAAATGTGATATGAACCAACTATTATCAATTTCATTTAGTTTAGATAAGTTTTTAATTAGATAAAAAAAAATTAAATCAATTTAGATTGTATTTTTGTTTTCATCAGATTATCGAAACTAATAAAAGTTTTTATTTCCTATCTAATATTTAACTTCTATTTTTTTTTTTAAATGTTTCTCTTATTCTTAATTATTAATAATATTATATTATCATATAAATTATCTACATATATGTGAGGAAAATGGTAATCCTAATTGACATAAAGTGGGGTAGGTAGTGATATTTAACAGTGACGTAGGAGAGATTTAAGCAGCGTGGCACAGTAAGCACCGTATGACACGCCTCACCCAACCACCTTCCTTTGCCATTTCCTTTTCACTCCCCAAAACCCATGCATAATCTTCCACCATCACCATACCAAAACGCCGTCGTATTCTCCACGCCACACCACAAGCCTATCAAATATCAATATCATCAATGATGTAGCTTCCCAAGACTTTTTTCTTTTTTCCCTCTTCACCACTTTCTCTCAATAATAATTGAATACAAGTAAAACATTTTTTTATGAGTGTTGGGAATCACCGGTTACCGTGTCGGCTTATGCAACGTGCATTGTCCTTTGGTTTAAAGCCTCCGCTCCAAGAAAATGCCGTTGCAGGCACTCCTCAAACAGCGACATTTACGAGCGTCTTACGTGTCAGCTTTTGCCGCACACATGTCCCTTTCTCTCCTCACTTCGTTGACTCCACGCGCCTCACCCCCACGCGCATATATATATATATATATATGTATATATATATAATCATTGACAATATTGCAACCAATTACATGTCAAATTGAATTTCATGTACAGGAAGGTTCTTAATTATATATATATATATAAATTTTTCATTCATCGGGACTCCCACTATTTTTACCAGAAGAGTAGAACAAAGAAATGAAGAGAAAAAAAAGATCAAAATGAACTCTATTTTTTTTTCTTCTTTTTTTACCATTTTTCAATTTATGAAAAATTGATTGATATATGTTTTTATGAGATTCTTCTTTCTTCTAGTCCTATTCATGACATGTTAACATGAACACTAGCAGTCTTGAAGGATTTACAAACTGGACAAGTGTGTAGGGTAGACCCGCACACAGTACACAAACACAGATGCCGGCACGGCAAAATCAGCACACACGACTCTTCCTTCCCACACTTCCTGCACAGCCTCACGTTACTCTCGCCGCCTTCCCTCTTATCCTTCGCCCCTGCGCACCCCGCTACCGTGCGCCACCCTTCCTCGTCCGCGGTGCTCCCGCAGCTCGACTGCGCGTCCTCCGTCTCCTCGCTCTCCACCGCCGGCCCGCCGCCGCACCGCTGCGCCAGCACCTGCTCCAAGTTCGTCCGGAGAGCATTCGCCGTGGCTTCGTTGCTCTGCGCCAATTCGCGCCATATCTGATTCTCCATGCACAGAGACTTCACTCTCTCTTCCAACGCCCAATTCAGTTTCTCGATTTTCTCTATCTCTTCCTCCTTCGCCTTCAGCCTCTTCATCACGCCAACGTCAATCGCTTGGATTATTCTCCTCATTAGCTTCTTCCTGTTCTCGTCGAACTCTATTCTCACTTTCTCCATCTGAACAAATACACAACCACAAATCAGAATCTAAATCTGAAAATAAAAAATAATAAATAATAAACATAAGACAAATCAAAATAAATGTATGAATGAATGAATGAGACTTACGCCTTGCATGACTAGCCGCTCGATGTCGAGTTGCTGTTGTTGGATCTGGAGAGACACGTCTTGGCCGAGAAACGAAAAATAACCGTCAGAACTGTAATTATAACTGTAATTATCTCTGGACCGTTTTCTCGACGCGGGAGTAACGACGTTATTGTTGTAAGTGAGACTGCTTTCGGATTTCACGGCGTTTCCGGGAGAATTGTACACCGACGACGGCAGCACGGTTTCCGTGACGGCGCCGGATAACGGAGGAAACGAAGAATAACTCATCTGAGTGTTGTATACGTTGAAATTGGCGTCAATTGAATTCATCACTTCCCTGTGAAAGTGAAACCAAATCTTGAGGAAAAAAAAAACAGAAGTAAAAAAAAAAATGAAAACAATAGGCGGAATGAGTATATATAAATACCGGTTGGCTATGAGTTGAGATGGGAAGAGATTAAGATGGCGCGCCTCAACGGCCATTGATGATATCTGATACGATGTTGATGTTGTTGTTGTTGTTGAGTTTGTTTGATTTTTGCGTGAGTGTTAGAGAGAAGAGAGAGCACTTGGTGAGAAAGAAGAGGAGGAGAGAAAAAATAGAGGTTTGGAAGAAGGAAGAGAATGGCATGCAAATAGAGGTGGCAAGGCTGGATGGTGGGGTTTATTTGGGGTTTCCCTAGGTCCACACATTATTATTAATACCTTATTATATTAACCAAACGTTGGACCAATAAAATAAAATAAAAAGGATAAAAGATAGTGTTTGTTTGTTGAATTGGTGGAGTGAGAGATCTTTTTGTCTATATAATAATCCGGACCAGACCAGACAGGCAGATAGAGATTTGATGTGGCAGGCTGTTATGGCCATTGCCCAAGGGGCATTTTGGGTCATTTCTCTTTTTTTTTTACTTTTTTTTTTTGGTGTTGAAAAAAAAAAAGTAAAAATAAATGACTGAGAAAAAGTAACAGTGTGCCGACTAGACGGTGGCACGTAGGGTCTAGAATGGAACATTTTAATATTATTAATTAATGTTGGTGTTGTGTTTAATGATTTCTCTGTTGTGTTGGTGGAAGGAGAGGGTGGTGGGGCCCGGAGACACGTGTGTGGCAGGGTTGTGGGGGAACATGGGAAGGGGCACGTGCGAGGTGCCAGCGTGGAGAAGAGAGAGAGGGTATTATTGGTAACGTACGGTGTACCCGTGGAAGGGGAAGGGTTTTTTGGCAGTTTCCTTGGGTTTGTGAGAAAAATGGGGTCTTTGTTTGTTTTGTTGGTTGAGTCATGGTGGTGGCATGGGAAACGTTGCTTGTGTTGTGTTCCACTGTGTGTGTGTGCCCTTCCACTGTTTTCCGCCACGTGTCCCCTCTTTTTGGGGTGCGTTATGGTCCATCTTGTGTCATTGGAAAAATCTCAGCCCTTGGCACTTGGCACTTGGCACTTGGCAGTCTCAACGCTCTCGATTCCACCGCTGCCTCATCACAGTCATGCTCTCTCCTTGCTATTGAAAGGTAGGGTAAAGTAAAGACAATTTTCATACCCTCATCCAAAAATTCATCACAAAATATTCTTCATTTTTATTTTTTTAAGTCATTATTAATTATGTTTTTCATTTATAATTTTATAAAATGCTAATTTTTCTTAAAATTAAGAGATTAAGTTAGGAAGAACAGTGAAAAGTTTTGAGAAAAATGTGTATTTACATATTTACTTTGCAACTCTATTATAATTTTTAATGTAAACTTTCTACTTTATTTTAATACTCTGTTGTAAAATGATTATAATATAGATATTTTAAAAAAATTTCAAAATAGATAATATTAATTATTTTTCTTCCTTATTTTTCATAGGTTATTCAATTATTGTAATTAAAAGTAATATATTTATTAAGAAGATATACAATTTCAATAAAATTAAGTATAAAAAAGTAATACATTTATTTTATTTCTTAATTTATGTTTAAAAATATTATATTATAATCATTATAGGATGAATAAAATATTAAAATTATCCCTTAGTTTATAAAAATAAAATTATATTATCTTTGGTATATTTCTGATTTTTTATTAATTTATGTAAAATATTTATAAATTGATAATTAATTTAAAATGAATAAAATATTTGAAAAAAAACTTACTCGCTTTAAAATTTCTAATTTTCTTTGTACAAAAATTAAAATTGATTATTCTTTTATGATAATAATAATAATAAAAAATTGAATTTTATATGAAAAAAAAAATATTTGATAAGATAATAAACAAAAATATTTTTCAATATGTATATTTAAAAATTAAAAAATATCCTATAAAATTGTCTTCCATTATATTTTTTCATCAAAAATATAATAAAAAATGATATTTAAATTATTTATTTTTATGATATAATAAAAAAATGATTTTCAAATACTCCTTCTGATTTTTTTTAATAATCATTTAAGGTTATTATTCCCAAATTAATAATCATAATAAATGTTTTACATAAAATGATTTAAATCTTTTCTATTATCTCCTTGTATAATAAATTTATATTAATTGTTAATTTATAAATTAATTAAAAATTAAGTAGAATACAAAAATATAATAAAAAATAATAATTAATATTTTTTGAACTTTCAAAACCCATAAATAGAAATAAATTTTTCTTAAAAAATTGCCAACTAAAAAAGATACATAAATATTTTCAAAAACACTTTAAGAACAATAAAACATATTTATAAACCACAATCCATAATATTTATAATTTTCAAAAATATTGTTGCTAGAAATATTTTTTTTTCTTTTTTAATTGTTATTTTTCTAAAAAAAATTGATTCTATTTATCTATTGTTTTCAAAATCTAAGACATTGTTAAACATATTTTTTAATCAATTGTATCTTTATATTTTACATATTTTTTTAAACAAAGAATTGTTTCTCTTTATCTATTATTTTCAAACTCTGAGACAACTTTAAATATATTTTTTAATCAATTGTAATCTTATATTTTACATAATTTTTAATTAACTTATACATTGATAATTAATATATATTTATTATAAAAAAAATATACTACCTCCATTTTTATTAAATGTTACATAATTTTTTTAAAATTTTTGTTTCTTTTTATCTGTTATTTTTTAATTTTAAGATAATATTAATTTTTTTAATCTAAATTATATTCTTAGATTCTTTAATTATTTTATTAAAATTTTTACTATTTCAGTCCATAGTATCCTTTGATAAATTTTATTTAAAAACTAAATAATCACTAGTATTTAAAGAAAGAAAGATATCATAAAAAAATTTAAAAGTGGAAGAAAAATTAATGATAATTAATATGAATATCTTTTTTTTTTAATTTAAAATGATAAAATAGAAAATACATTAACAAAATCTCTTTAAATTAAAAAATGTATAACTTTTTTGGTTACTCAATTTAAATGAAACTTAATTAAAAATAAAGGAAGTAATAGAAAAAATCAAAAACATTTTATAAAAGAAAAAAAAATTATTACATTATTTAATTTGTATATAACAATCTTAAAAAGACTATTAAAAAGGAATAGAAATATTATTTTAAGACATGATAAAATAATTAACCAATTTGAATAAATGATAAATTTAAGTAAATTCATCAGTAAAGTAATTAATTTAATTAAAAAGATATTTAAATTAAATTAATTTTATCTTAAAATTGTTAGTATCATAATATATATATATGTTTTTATCTTGATCTTGATCTGTGTGGTGAAATTCAATGAAAAAAGTGAAAATGAAAAAAAATAAAAATGGAAGGGTCAAGCAAGGAAGATAATTCAGAGGATTGAGATTGACATGATAAAAAAATTGAAGAAGATTTATACTGTATGAGATTCTATCATCTAATATAATATACTTATTTTAAAAAATTAAGAGTTTAAGATAATTAAGAATATTATTTTATTATTTATAAATTTTTAGAAAAACTGATTTAATAGTTACTTTTTAAAAAAAAAACTTCATATATGAAATAATATTTTTACAATTATAATTTTATCAATATATATATATATATGTATATATATTGATAAAATTATAATTGTAAAAATATTATTTCATATATGAAATAATATTTTTACAATTATAATTTTATCAATATATATACATATATATATATATATTGATAAAATTATAATTGTAAAAATATTATTTCATATATGAAGTTTTTTTTTTAAAAAGTAACTATTAAATCAGTTTTTCTAAAAATTTATAAATAATAAAATAATATTCTTAATTATCTTAAACTCTTAATTTTTTAAAATAAGTATATTATATTAGATGATAGAATCTCATACAGTATAAATCTTCTTCAATTTTTTTATCATGTCAATCTCAATCCTCTGAATTATCTTCCTTGCTTGACCCTTCCATTTTTATTTTTTTTCATTTTCACTTTTTTCATTGAATTTCACCACACAGATCAAGATCAAGATAAAAACATAATATAAATCAAAATAAATGTATGAATGAATGGTGAGACTCATGTATGACATGATTTAATGTTGAATATTGAATTATTATTTTATAAAGATATTATTGTTGTGAGAAAAAAAAAAAGAAATATTTTTGTACATTAAAAATATACTAAAAAATATTGACATCCATCGGATTAGATTAGATTAGTTTAGTTTATAAACGATCAAATTTAAAAACTAAATTAATTATAACAAATTCATTAATTTAAAGAAAACAAAATTAAACCGTTTAAATTAATTTAATTATCTTGATTTTAATCGTTAAATATTTAAATAATATCTATAAATTGATATAATTTTTGATATCATAATAAAAAAAATATTATACTTGTATAATTATTTCAACCAATAAAAGCCGTCTCTTTATTGATATTATTAAAAAAATAATAATAACTACCAATAATCATTTTAGATTATGAAAAAATGCTGAAAAATATTTTTATTAAAAAAACAGATAAAAATATTTTGATTAAAAAATAGTAAAAAAATATACTATATTTTAATCAAAGATAAAATAGTTTCTCTGCTAAAGATTTTAACAGCCAAACAATATATACATATATATATATATATATATATATATATATGAGGATGATTATAATACACCGATGTAACTTTTACTAAATATTATATTGCTCAATAACTTTATATTTGTAACGATTCGCCAAGTCTCACACTATTTATAGGGTCTAGATACAAGTATAAAATAAAATATCATTACTAAACAATTATATATATAATGAGAATACACAACTAAAAAGTCTCATAATATATATAACTGAAAGTAGGGAATAATACCCTATACAACAATTAGGTAGTCGAATGCTACCAATCAACTAAATACAACATTAGCCTTCCTCCTGAGTCCTAACCAAAAAGAAGTTCACCTAGTCCAGCAGAGCACCTAAACCTGATCTGCTTGCATACCAAGGTATGGTCATCGCAGCCCCAACCACAAGGGAAAACATGTTAAGGTAAGCTCACAATAACAATCATAAAAAAATAGTATCAACATATAATAAAAAGCAATAGAATTCTACTTTCAACTTGCAACTTAAAGTAACACAACACCTACAAAAATAGATTTACAACATCATCTAATAGCAACAACATTTTTAACACATCGTACTTTACTCAAATTGGCCGCTTGTAATCGGTATAGCTCGGCCTGACCCCTATACCGTGGTCGTTTCATACATGTGTGTCTCGACCTTGCCCATACACGGGACCAACTA